AGGGGTTCATAGTGTAAATAAAGATACCGTTGACGCTATTCCAATTATATCAAGGGATTAATCAGTAACTCGAAGATGAAATGCAAGTCTGATTCTTCAGTCTTTTTCCTACCATACCATGAAATCTACACAGCCTCTAAAGTGGAGACAGTGTAGCATTGATGATTAATGTAAATCAATACGCTTCACAAATCTGGATAGGAAACTCTACCAGTGTGATTTAGGCAGAGCAAGCTGACCTCTCACATAGGTTGAGTGGAGTCACAAAAAAAGGGCCTGTCAGACAGCCGTGCGACCACCCTGGAGAGGTCAGGACCTAACCAGGTAGCGATCCTCTACAACACGAAGACTCCTAAGAGATATCGCAGCCGTCAATCACACTCAAATCGCACGGCCATGATTCATCAACCAGGTTAGAGGGCCTGTCTCCTTAGAAACCAAGGATACAGATGTACGAGCCTATAGAACAGATCCTGTTCAAGTAAGGTCGTGACCTCTGCCCTCTTCTCTATGGTATATAAACATATGGCTTCTGTGTACGTTACCGATGTGGGACTAAACAAACAACTTAACAGGCTAATACGATGCCGTGTTTATACTCAATGCACTAATGACCCAATACGTCATCATTCTAGTTTATCTTATGTATTGCACAAACGTTCCGTGAATCAATTTGATGACAAATTTTCGGTAGATTTACCTGTGAACCCGATGATTGTCGCTTTATGGTGCTTCTGCGTTTTTTCGTTTCATCTCAAAAACAAAGTTTTGCAACATAATCTCAAATCCAAGAGAAAACACAAATCAAATGAGATCAGTCATGAGAGGCCATATATCAGATTTGTTTTGCAGAAAGTGGAAATGATGATGATTTGTAGAAACGCTTGGCTATCAAGAAACTAATTTCGGTTTCAAATATATGTCTTAATCTTGCAAATCACTTTTTTCGTGCATATAATCTTAGGTTTCATCTTTGGACAGAACTGAAGTATCTGTGTTTGAGTTTTAGGCTCATAGCTCTTCTGAATTTTAAGGAAACTGTTGGTGCTTGCTGAAGATCGAGCAAGATAGTTATATTTCTTTGAGTGACTGGCTTTTCACCGTGTAAGCATCTTGGAATAACCTCGTCGGAACATCAAGGTGCTGGCATAGACTTTGCTTCTTGTCAAGCCAAGGAACATACTGAACCATCTAGAATAATAGCCTATGTTTGGAAATATCAAGTTACTGCTGCTAATAATATCGTTGCCTTTATGCGATTAGCTATCCTTGTGTGTTTTTAAAAAAAAAAAACTATATCATCAATACAGAGAGAGAAAAATAAAAACACAGAGGCTCATGAAACATATGATCATTTCTATAGCTATTTGAATAGAAAGTGAGTCACTGAATACAAATGGAATCCGGAACAAAGCGCACACAGAGACTCATGAACATGGATCCATTCTGTAGCTATTTAAAGTGAAAATGCCTCATTGAATAGAAAGAGACTGGAATATGTACAAGGCTGAAGGCTCTCATGAATATAAATGATATTTACCATTTGTTTTTGCTATGGAATTCTGCAAATCTTGATGACGCACAACACTTTATCCTTCATTGCCTCTTCGACAAGCCTATACTCTTCCATAATCCATGTTAGCAACACTTCTTCTCCTTTCTCAATACCAAAATATCTGTCTTCATCCTCTTCGCAGAACTCGAAAACCCTCCGGAAACCCATAACCTCATGGCTCATTGAATAGATCGAATAATCATCCATCTTGATCCTCCAGCATCCGCTTTCACACCCATCGGTATCACCACAAGCCTCTTCCCGGTTAGCGAAGATGCACAGTCCGAATTCTATAAACCTCTGATCTTCGTGATCCGCAAGCGTCGATGGATGCACGCAGTACACGTCGTTGGTGACGTAGCTAGGCCAGCTGTCTCCACCAGATTCTAATATCATCTGCAGATAATATGCACCATCTTCTTGTGAATTGGCTAAGCGGACTCCATAAGCTGTCAACGACTGTGTTGGAGCAAGAAGCGTATCTGATGATGAACACGAGAAATGCTTGGAGAGAAAGAAACTGATCTCTGTTTGGAATAAAAGCTGAATCTTGCAAACCACGTGATCTTGCTTAGGGTTCCATTTATTCGGAAGCCTGTACTCCTCCATCACCCAGCTTCTCTTGTAATCTCTCGCTTTGGTCTTTCCGCAGAACTTGAGAATCTTCTTGAACCCTAGAAACTTCCCAGTATCCTCGTTCTTGATAAGTTTATCATGACCGATGATCTTCCACGAACCAGAGTCGCATCCATCGGTTCTACCACAGGCTTCTGTTCTAGGGTAAACGTAGACGAAGATAGGGTTCTCAGACTCGAATACCTCGCTTGGATTCTTGTTGAACACGTCTGTGTCTTCGATGAACTGTTCAGGCCATGAACCTCCGTTATCAGCTATACTCTTCAGATAAGTTGACATTATCTTCTCGTCGTTCGCTTTGCTGTGATCGTCTTTGATATCTGGATATTGGGCAGCTCGGATCTCTTCCATTGTTAAACAATAGGAAAAAAGTGGGATCAAGAGGGAAAGAAACACAAGAAGTCAAGAGAAGAAGACGAAGTTCGTTTCTTGAGGGTGAAGCCAAGAAGAAGAAGAGAGACTGTATATGGTACAGTTGCGTTTTCAAAGAAAGAGAAGTTTGCTGAAAGGATAAAGTTTTAATACGATGAAGCAAACTTTTTATAATAATATTGTTGAAACGGTTACAGGCCACGTCATCAAAAATTCAGTGGGAGACTTTTGTAAAAATTAACTAGATTTTTACCGTGTTTTTGCTTTGAGATTATTTTGCTTACAAAATTTAATTATGTAATTCTGTAGAATGTTACTTTTAACAACATATCAAACAGTTCCTCACATAGTTTTGAACCTCTAAACTCATCTTGGACCTTTTCTTTTTGCAATCTCCAAAACTTTACTCCCCCAAAAATTTCAAACTTTCAAAACTTCTCGTACTGAACCAATCTTCCTTTATCTCTGTAAGTTGTTTGTGAGAGTTTCTGCCACATTCTTGAGTAAAAAATATCGATATCATGAGACATGCCGAGAATATATAAGGAGCATTGGCTAGTGTGAGAGGCATAAGACAAGAATCAGTGTGATTTTAGGCAAGAGCGTTCATTTCGTTCAGTGTTCACAATACAATTTGCAGCTGGGTTGAGTGAGAGGCAAGCAAAAACGGGCCTGTCAGACAACCATGCGACCACCCTGTAGAGGTCAGGACCTAACCAGGTAGCGATCCTCTACAGCAAGAAGACTCTGAGGAGAGATCGCAGCCGTCAATCACACTCAAATCGCATGGGCCATGATTCATCAACCAGGTTAGAGGGCATGTCTCCTTAGAGATCAAGGACATGGAAGTACTTCCTATAAAACAGAACCTGTTCAAGTAAGGTCGTGACCTGAACTTTCTTCTCTTCACTATATAAACAACACGGCTTCTCTGTAAACCAGCGATGTGGGAGGACTTAAAAACTTCAGATACTCAATACTCTGCCGTATTTAAAGTCAACATATCTATATAATTTTTTGCGAAGTGATTTTTCGCAACAGAGCTCTCACGTTAAAAGTTGGAGTGGTTAATATCGTTTATACCCTTAATGAATAATTAAAAAAATTCAATATATAATTAACTATAAATAAAAACGAATTTCAGTGGTTTAAGATTTATCCTTATCTAAAAATATTTTCTAATGTTTTAAATAGTCTTTATTAATCTTGAAAATAGTTTTATTTGTTAATATATAATTAATTATAAATTAAAAACGAATTTCATTAATTTTATAATTATCCTTATCTAATTTGTTTATATTGTGTTATAAAATCTTTATCAACATTGAAAACTAATTATGTTTGTTAATCTATAATTTATCATTAATTAAAAAAAAACTAATTCATTTGATAATTATAGATAAAAAATAATTTATATTGTGTTATCCAAAAATAATAATTTTCATCTTATTTTAAAAATAAAACTAAAAAAAATTCGTACATATTATTTTCTATATATTTTTATGTATACCAAAGTATTTATTTATGCAATAAAAGATAATTTTATTATACTCAAATTTGTTTCATATCTTAAAATTTGATATTAATTTATTACTAAATATTTTAACTTATAAGTGTTTTTAAATTTAATTTATGTAACGGCAATTATTATATTATGATGAAAAACATAATATATAAAAAACATTATTATTAAATATCTTGAATATATAAACAATAACTTATTTTAATGTTACTTAAATTGATTACATATTTATTTATAGATATTTGTAAAATCATTAAGCCCGCATGTGCGGGCAAAAACACCTAGTATTAATGGAAATACTGATACAAAAGGTTTCTCAATCAGAATCTCATTTGGTTAAAAACCCTTTTGGATTAGGTTTACTAAATGGTGTGTTTGATAGAAAGTCCATTTAGTCTTCTTCTCCTCCTGTCCTCTGTCCATCATCGTCAAGTCGCAGTAGAGGAAACAGAACAATGTAATTTTTTCAAAATTAAACCAGAACCGGTACGAACCCGGCTACTCAGGTTTCTTAAAACAACCGTTCAAATTTTCAAAAAAAAAACAATTTCGAGCAAGAAATTGACATCGCTTTTATTTGATTGGTTTATTTCTACTTAACTGGCGTAGAAAACCAAATTAACCAAAACAAAGTTTCAATTTGGTGAAGCTATATGAAGCAAGATGATTGATGAACTCAAACGAACAAATACTACATTTCAGTGTTCTTGGTATTAATGAGAAACTTTCCAATACAGAACTCCAAACTGAACTAAACCGGAACCATGCCAGTAATGAACTTAAACCAATCAGAATCTCTTTTTAGGAGAGATTAGCGATAACACGTTGACATTTATCTTCCAGTATCTTGACAGCTTCAGTGAAGAGAATATCCGGAGGCAATGATCCAGTAGACTCAATTTTAACTAAAACAAAAACACACAGAACACAAACTCAATTAGGTTTTGCTTTCAGACAGATAAATGAATGTTTCTTACAAATAAAATGGTTCTTCACACGTCGCAGAGCCACATTCTCTATCCATTCTTTCTGTTCCTGTTTCTGTTCTTTTTCTTCTTCCTTGTTCATTTCCTCTCCATAATTTTCCCTAACGCATTGCCTACACAACGTGCAATCACGCGGCCGTGCTACCGTTGCCCTCTTCCTACCTGTTTTGCAAAGTCAATATGAAAACTCGAGTAATGCAGACAATTTTCCATCAGAATCTCCTATTGTTTAAAAGGATTTTTACTTTACCATTGCCTATGTCTTCAATGTCAAAAACTTTCTGTGGACAGGCTTTTACGAGTCGTTCAGCATCCTCATCCTCAACTTCCCTTAGTAGAATAACCTAAAAGATATTACCAAACAAAAAAAAAGCATTACAAGAAAGATTAGGTTGAGAGGCAAGACTGAAGCTACTGAGGTAATAAACTTGTCACCTCAGGAAGCATCCGATACCAAGCCGTAGCTACTGGTGACCACTTTGCATGTGTTTTACCAATGCCTTTAACCGCATGAGCCTCCAGCTCAATCTCCTACAAAAATAAAGATAAAAATCTAAGACAAGGCAAGCGTTTTGGTTCATCTGAAGCTGAGGAATATATTAAAACAACAGTACATGGCCAGGGCCGAGTTTGGCTATCAATATGTCAGGATAGCTTGGAGTGATGGGATTATTAGCGAGTTCAGGGAAGGAATCGCTTTGGCTGTGGCTGAAGGAAGTGTAAGTTTTTGGTTTTGAGTTGGAATCTCCTGATTCTTTAACCAACTCACTCCCATTTGGTAACCAAATCAATTGATTCGTCAAAACTACAATAAAGGAGAACCTTTCATGAGAAATTAGAGCTATAAATTATGAACCTTTCATGAGAAATTAGAGCTATCAATTATGAACCTTTCTTGATGCAAACCAAAGAAAGAATATAATATTACCTTTCTTACGTCCTTCACCTTTTGCACATTTGGCATGGAGTTTGAAAACAATGGTGTTCTTTTCATTTGGCTGGTCGTTCTCTACGGAAACAGAGAGATAAATAATCAAACTGAGAGTCACACAAATGTAATTTCTTAAAGAGATGGATCACTTACCAGATAAAAACTCGAAGAGCTTGGGGTCAGCAGCAATAGGAACAAGACCCATCCTCTGAGCAATAACTTCATCTTGAACAATAGATGTGTTGTTTGCTATAAACACTCTTTCAAAAGCCATTGTAGGAAGCTACAGAACAAGAAAAAGAAAAAAGAATCTTTTAAGAATCAAAGATTCACAGAGGAGGCTGTGAGTGAGAGATAATGTGACAGAAGCACCTCAGCTAGAAGGATCCTTCTGAAGGCATTGGCGATTGCTGCATCGATACCGATCATATCAAATTCCAATTCCATGCCATCTTCTGAAAGGTGGATCACATTAACTCTGAAATTCTCAGAGAAGTTTTCGAGTTTCACACTGTTGTCAACTCCCACAGAGCTATAGGCACCCGAGTAACCGACGCTCGCCGTCTACACAAAGATTAAAAGACTTGAGCTTTCCACGCATATCATTTCGATTCTGACCAAAAGAGACCAAACCCACTATGTAATCTTGTAAGACTATTAATAACCAATTCACAAAATTAGAGCTTTTTAAAGTAAAAGTGAAGAGAGAGAGAGGTACATGAATAGGAGCGTCGTTTTGGCAGAGGACACGAGTTCGCTGGAGTTGGAGATGCGGAGGAAGTCCGGTAGGGATGTCGGGAAGATCCATTATGTTGAAATTCTTAGCGTATGTCTTGTCTTCTTCGGTGACTATCCTTTTTACCTCCTTGTCTTCTCCTTCTTTGGTCGCCATATTTCTTTGCAGCAGAAGTTCGGTTCTGTTTTGACAGTGAGCAAATCCCACGTTTTAGGGTTTCAGATGACAAGTGGGATTAGATGAAGATTTCGAAGAGAGACAGGAGGAGGTAGGAGAAAGAGTTGAGTAGGGTTTATCGACTCGTGTGTATCGTATCCTTTTTGGGCATTGGTTAACCATTTTGGTTTGGTGCGGTTCGGTTCGGTTCGATTGATATATTTGGCTCCGGTATAGATAAAAGACTGAAAACCAAAACGTTACTGTTTCGAATTTATCCAGCGAGTTGTTTTCGTAATCCCTTAAGAAGACAATCGTCTTTCGTTGTTCACATGGATACAGAGCGACCGGTTTGGTTTAATGGGTCAATATGAGCCTGTTTTTGTTGATGTCAAAAAAAAAAAAAAAAAATTAAAACTCAAGTCGTTTGGCGAATAAGATAATGACACATAAAAAAATTCTTTTAAAAAATATTAATCAAAATTAACTTCCTAAAATATCTCAATCTAATCCCAGAGTTATGTAATTTTTAAAAAATAAAATAAAATAACAAGTCAATATCCATAAGGCAGTTAAAATTAAAGCTTCTTCATAAAAATAAAAGCTTTACTAAATTCTTTACAGTTAAAAATAATTTATAATATTATTTTAATTTATTGCTTTAGTTATATAATTTTAAAAATTAAATAAAAGCAAAATTAAATTAAAATTTAAAGACTCGCCAGCTAATTAATCTATTTTGATATAAATTAAAATCCCCTAATATTTCTCACACTACTATGATCTTTGAACAATTAAAACTAAAAAAAACAGTTAAAAATTTTTCGATAGAACATTTGACTCATTTATTCTATTTATGCATGCATTTTCCTAAATTATTTGCAGTGCTCCACTTATTCTCTCTTTTTCTGAAAATGATGAAAATTCAGTTTTTAACTTCTGAGGATCGTATATGTCAATTCTTATAGAATTGTATGTCCTACTAAACATTTGCACAACAATAGCCTTTAGAGATTTTTTCACCATAATTCTAAAAAAAAAAAAATATTGACCGAAGAAGAGAAAAGAAAGCACATGTTATCTACAGTAAAGCTTCCTGCAAAGTTGACTGAAGAAAATTCAAATTTTGGTTAGTAAGAGTAAACACGTCTGGACTCTTTATGACTCAAATGGTAGTTTGCCTCAGGTTTTTAATGGACATTTTTCTACTAAAACGTAATTTTGTTCTTTTCTTTTGTTCTTCTAGATATTAGCAAAATTTACATACTTTCTGCAGTAAAAGATAAACCTAAGAGCATCCACAAAGCATAATCTTTAACAAAAAATTCTTAACAACAATTTTTGGAATATTTTATTTTTTTTTCTTTTTTTCGTTCGAATTAAAAAAAAAATTGGCCAATCACAAACTTCTAGAAAAGAAATCCGTAAATTGGGACTGCAAGAGGCAATAATGACACAGATTCTTAAATATTTTGGGCCTTACATATTATTATAATAATTTGTTGTTAAGATTTGTTGTTAAAGATTTTGGATTATGGATGCTCTAATAAATTCGGTCAGTTCTGTTTTTAAACCTATCTTTGAACATATCAACGCTATCAAGAGAAGAAGATTTCTTTTTAATCGCACCATATACCAAGGAAGCTCGTGCAAGCTGCCTACCTCCCCCAGCCGTTAGATGTTGTGTTTTAAAACAGATCCAACGTCCCAGAACTCTTCCATCTCTCTCATATACCTACCTTTTTTCCTTTACCTCCTTTTCATTTATTGCAACCGAAAAGAATAATTAGTTTTTTTTAGTTACACTGTACAACCAGAAGCTGCTCCCTTAACTACAACCGAAACCTCTCGCCTCTATTCAGGGACATTATCGTCTAACAAAAAGACAGCTGGCTGTACAATGTGTACCAACCACAATAAGTATCTCTATGTGAGCAAAAAAGACAGATTGTGCCTCTTAAGGTAACCGTCTCGGAAAAGCACCACAATGGTGATAACAAGAAGGTTAAAACGAGGCTTAAGAGACTATGTCTACTTAGGAACTAACATCAGGTTGGTATTTCTTATTTTTGTATATTGATATTTTTGGTTCAACATATGCTTTTGTAAATTTTCTAAAAAAACAAAAACGCTAGAATCGTTGAAAACTTTAAGTCAAAAGTACAGCATCGAGAATGAAAAAAAGAACATAAGAGAAGAGCGAAAACACGTGAATTATCTACAAGTAAAGTTTTTTTTTGAGGAGATTTGGGAAAATGCATTGCAATGAGAGCATAATTTGAACAATACACCCTTATTTAAGTTTTTTGAAAAATATAATTATGTATATGTAAATTTACCTAATTGACACCAATATTAATTATTCTTCAATTCTTAATATAATTAAAAATGTTAAAAACGGAAAAATCGTAATATATCTTTTCAAATATTTGTTAGAGAATCTACACAATATTTTTCCATATCTTTTATAATATATCTTTAAATTTTTTAATAGTTTGAAATGTCCTAATTAGTTGTAAAAGAAAAGCCCTAATTAAAGAACTCAACGCCGTGTCTTCTAGTATCTTATTTTGAATGAAATTTCCCATTTGTTATACACGACCTCTGTTCCTATTCAAGTTCGACGTTTATGTTTTCTAAATAGAGATTTAATCTCTCTCTCGTATCCACTCCATCTCGCAAATTTTTGTTTGGTTTTTGTGTCATTGTAAAAGCCATACACATAGCACTGAAATCTGAAACACTCTTTATTGAGTTTGTAAAGAAAAAAAAGTCATGTATGAATCATGATTTCTTAGTACATGTATGAAATAATATAGGGAATAATATATAGAAAATTTTGATGTAGAAATTAAGCATTAACCATATTATATTCAAAATCAAAAAGTGTAACAAATGTTAGTAGTCACTAAGAACTTAATTGGTAGATATATTGACTTCTAGGAATAATGAATATTTTTGTAGAGAATATGTGAACTTGTTTATATACGATTAAGAAAATAAAATAAAATTCATATAAATTGCATGATAAAATCAAAACAAATCACAATTTGTTTGAATATCTTTGTTATTTTAAAAAATTTATTGGTAAAAGACTATATTTATCTCAACATATATATTTATCTAAATATTAATAATTTCTCCATATTATTATTAATTTCAAATTATATTTTCATTATTGAAATATCTAATTTGGATAAAAATGTAAATTCACATTGCATACGATGTATGTTTTCAAAAAATAAAATAGAAGAGGTAGTTTTCAAATATCAAAATGATAATAGGATAATTTACAAATTATCCCTTTTTTTTGTTTGGTAATATCTACAAGTAAAGATGATATTTTAATCATACTAGGTGTTTTGCCCGCACTTGCGGGCCTAAACATTTTATAATTATTTTATTAATATAATTTTACTAATCGAAAGATTTTAATGATAAATTATTATTTATGTCTTTTCAAACCACTAATATTTATATTTTCATTTAAACATTCTTACATATATTTCTTTGTACATTATGTTCACAATTAAAAATAAATCTTAAAATCAAATAATATTTTCAATTATATAAAATTAAGAAGTTTACTTGATTAATATTTAGTTATCTATTTTCTATTTTTTTATTAAATATATTTTTTAGATAACAACACAATATATATAGGAATTATCTTATTTAAATACATATTATTTAGATTTTGGATAATTCTTATGATTATTATTAGTTTTAATTACTTATCTAATTAAAATAATTAAATTCTTTTTTTATTTTGTATGTAATTTTTATATTTTATTCATTTAGGGTATAAACGATATTAACCATTTTAACTTTTAACGTGTGAGCTCCGTTGCGAAAAATCACTTCGCAAATAATAATCTAGATTTGTGCTAGATATATGCTTTCCCTTAATTTTCCTATAATGATTTTAGATTAAGTGATTGATATTTTACACGCATTATGGATCCATATTATTATGTTATAAGATATTAACATCAAAATCTATTTTTTCATGTGTACCACTAATCAATCTCCAAATAATTTTTTTTTCACAGTAAATTATATATATTGTATATAATTATAATATATTCACAAATAATAATGTCCGTTCAAAGCACGGAAGTAATCTCTATAATATTATTTGAGAAGTCAGTTTCCTACGTGTCGTGCTCACGTTAACTCTCACGATGGTTGATTACATAGATGCCCTTAATGATTTGTTAGATTTTCAGATTATTATTTTTTATTAGTTCTTTTTACCTTTTTCCAAATAACATATACAATAAAAAGGAAATATTTCTAAAATTTTAAAACAAATTTTAAAAACTAAATATATGTATATAATATGACTTTATGAAAACAGAAAGTTCACAAAATAGGAATACCCCATTAATATATATTTTAAAATAACATAAAATATATATTCAAAATAATAAAAATATATATGTTCATGAACATCCAAAAACTTATCAGTTGCACTTCATTTTCTAATATTTTTTAGAAATCAACATATATTTTGATAAATATTATGAAAATACATGTATATTTAAGCGATAACTAAAACTAATTTGATTTGACTTAACTAAAATAAATAGTAAATAAATATTATGAAAATACATGTATATTTAAGCGATAAATAAAACTAATTTGATTTAACTTAACTAAAATAAAAAGTAATTATTCTTCAATTTTAATTTACAAATATATGATATTCAATATACTCACAAAATGAATGACTCGGCTAATCTAATTTATATTCAAAATTAATCAACTAACTACAATAAGAACATATAATTTTATAATAATAATAATAATAATATTAATAATCTATTTAGTTTTATACATATAAACTAGAGGTTGATCCAAAGCATATTAAAAAGAAGAAAAAAATATTAACCAATTACAATTTAATTCTTTTTAGAATTTATATATATGCATGCGACTTCAAAATATTATCATTATATTCATTTATGTAATTTTGAATTAAACATTTCAGCTTATTATTTATTTCATTTTAAGCAAAATATATATATATATATATATATATTAAGTTATACATAATTTAACTATAATATATTTACATATCTAAGAATATATTTACATATATAAAGACAATAACCATCCGAAATGAAAATAAGAAAATTAATCAAAGTTATATTATATTTAGAATAAAAAATATTATAGCTGAATTCAAAAAATAAATATTATCTAATATACCAAATTGATAACCAAACCGACTATTGATAAAAAAAATAATTAAACCGGTAATAATATATCCAAAGTCATATGTATAATTAGAATAATATAATATTTATTAATATAAATTATACATATAAATTGATTAAAAACTAAAACTAAATACCAATCAATTATTTATTTCATTTAAGCACAATATATA